AGAAGAGTGTTCCATTCTGTTGAAAATTTTTAGCAGTAAGTACAGTTTTTCTGTAAACAGGAGTGCAGTCAAGAACAAGTTTCTCTCTAATTAGGACTTTAGAGGGAACTGTGCGGAACTGTCGACAGACTGCGACGGCCTGCGAGATTCGGCTAGTTTTTCTACAGTTTTCTGTAGTTTAACTGTAGTTAGAGTACAGAAAACTGCACTTGAACTACACTGAAAACTATCCGCTTGAACTATAGACATTTTAAAGTCTGGGCTGTTGTTGACACTACGGTTCATTGTGTACATTGTGTAATTGTTGCGTAGTCACGATGCAGTCGTAATGTTCTCAAACTACGGATGCGAACGGAGTTTAACTTCGGTTACACAGAATAGTTCCAAGTGCAGATCCTTACACCCGGGTCTACGTGGAATCCATGGTCAAAATGCCTACCCCAGCAAAGCTCCGATCTACGTTGTACCGACCTCGACCGTCTACGTCCTTTCAAAGTTGCTGCGACGTGCGTTTCCCATGGGGAAGGACGTGTATTGTCAGTCACCTATTGACATGGGGCTGCACTCCGTCATCGTCGCGATCTTGCCCTTTTTGCACTTGAAGTACCCCTCAATGGCCTCTGAAGCCTCCTCTTTGAAGCACATTCTTCCTAAATTTTAGCATATCGACGAGGGCTGAAAAAGAGAGGTCGGACAAGACGTAGGTTGGACAGAACTTTTTGTGATTTGGAAAAATCATCTGCAAAACAGCTGCACCGCTCTCTCCGCCCATCCACGATTTTTCCAGGAAACCCTAATAATTTCTTTGAAAAAAGGCGTTCAAAAACAAAGAAAGTTCTACAGTCATATTTAATTGTGAAAACTATGTCTGAGCAGCAACTTGGCACGTCTGTGTGACAAGCGACATCCTCTGCACAGACCCTTAGGCACTGACCGCAACCCCTTGCAGACCTCTTCCAAACGGAGCAGCTCTGTTGGTGTTCATGAAGTAGTTGCCGGGCTCGTTCCTAAAAACACGTCACATTAGTTGTCTTCAAATGAAAGTAATAGTTCACAAGTCAACAAGCGAGGCCCGCTCTTCCACCAAACCAAGTTGCCAGCTCCGCTTCCCTCCGCCAGAAATTTGGTTCCGCAGAAAGTGGGCCTCTCTTGGCCCGCCGGCGAAATTTGGTACGGGCCTACGGCCCGTCCCTTCAGATGTTTTTATAGTGCTGTATAACAACATCAGAGAAAGGGCCAAAATAAAACGCAACAACTAAAAGATTCTCTCAGTACGCCGTACAACATTAACAGTTTGTGCCGGTTTGTGCCGTAGTTTGTAGAATAAAGGCCTAAACAAGTTTATCAAAATTGCTTCTAATTGATGTTAGCTTGTTAACTCAATACCACAAATAATTTAAGACTGAGGCTCTAAGTTGAGGCTGAGTTTTTGCCATGGAAGAGAACACATTTCGTTAATGATGTGCCACCATAAAATAAGCGCACTCTTCTGCTTAGAAATATTTTTTGAACTAATGGCTCTAATAAAAAATCCTCCTGACACAAAGAGTTGTTTGTTTTTAGCCCCCCCCCCTTCTGCTTTGGAAAAGCTATCCAGCGACCTCGTGTGTGTCTGTCTGTATGTTCCTCTAGAAGGAGATGTGCAAGAGACTTGAAATTTTTAGGGTATCTTAAGGTCCACTCCTAGAGAACGAAACGCCTACAGCAAATTATGGCAACAGCGCTGGCAAAAAGAATTAAATCTTATTTTAAAATTAGCCCTCGCGAGAGCAAAATATTTCGCCCGGACGAACTATTTTTCCCCGTACGAAAAATATTAGTCCGGCATCAGTCCGTTTTCGGTCCGGAAAGAGTCCGCACCCCTGTGGACCAGTCCGCGTTCGATCCGTCGTGCACCGGACTAGTCCGCTTTTAGTACCCCCGGACATGCGGACTAGTCCGCTTTGAGGTCGCTGCGGCGAGGCGCGAAGCCGAAACAGTCCGCGGACAGTCCGCTCTCAGCGGACTAGGTCGCTTTCAGTCCGCCCCATGACGGACTAGGTCGCTTTCAGTCCGCCCCATGACGGACTAGGTCGCTTTCAGTCCGCCCATGACGGACTAGGTCGCTATCAGTCCTCCAATGACGGACTACTGGCGGACCAGTCCGTCCTGAGTACCTACCGCAGCGGACCAGGTCGTTTTCAGTCCGCCCGGGAGCAGAGCACAGCACTGTTAAAAAGAAAGAATTGTCCAGGGCGAATCCCGAATCAAGTTTACCATGCTGTAACTTTGGAAGTTATAGGAATTTTCACCTCAAATTTTATTTAGGACATCTACACTCTATTTTAGTAGGGCCATTTTAATTTCATTGAAATCGAAGCAAATTTTTCTGGTAACTCGTAAACGGCTTGAGCTAGGTTAAAACAGACAGCAGATTTGGCTTCGCCTCGTTTCTAACATAGTAACATCACTCTTCGGTTTACCCTGACCTGATATTTTACTTTATTTAGTGATAAAAAAAAACATTACACTTTGCACTTTTCCCAATCAATTTTGGCACGGTAGAGGTTAGCTGTGCTACAGGTAGTCTGCATTAAGTCTGCTCTGCCTGCGGACCAGTCCGCGATCAGTCCGGTAAGGCGGGGATGCGCACTAAAAGCGGACTAGTTCCAGCCGGACTAGTCCGGCAAATAGGTCGTTTTTTGGTCGATCTGGCTTTTTTCGCGGACTAGTCCGCTCGCTTTGCGGACTGATGACGGACTGTCCAGCCGGACTCTTTCCGGACCGAAAACGGACTGATGCTGGACTAATATTTTTCGTACGGGCCCCCAGGGCAAAATCATAGAGCCCTATCGAAATTGGTCCTCAAAGGGCAAAGGACATCCCTTTTTCGAGTCTTTGGGGCAAATCTAAAGACGACGGGTTGAGCGGGCTGAAATTCGATCATGTTCTTCAGCAAATCGCGTGACAGAAATGGTCGGAACTTCGCTTGGCGGAAGGGTGGGCCTCCTCGTTTTTTTTTACGGCAAAGCCTGGCAACCAACCGTAACGGGCTGAGAGGGGGTATCAAGGAAAATGAGGTAGGTCAGAAAAGTCAGAATTTTTTTTATGATCGCCAGTTGGCGGTAACTCGTCCAAGTACAGCATCTGGGCAAAAATTTTGTCTGTTTGGCTCTATTATCAACCGTTTAGGCGCTTGGGGGTCTTTTTGGACGAAAATAAGCGAAAAATTGCTGTAGTGAACCATAGGTTGTAGAAGAAGGCCTAAAAACCGCAAAGTAGGAAAGGAACCCCCCCCCCACCACCACCACCACTCCACACCGAAAAACGTTTTCTAAGCAGAAGGGTGGGTTGTAGTCGCGGTACTTCACCGTTACATCCTTTTCTCGTGTCTACGGGGCAAATTTTAAAGACGACAGGTGTGAGCAGGCCGAAGGCCTGTTACATCATTTCATTATGTTCTTCAGCAAATTGCGTGACAGCTATGGTCGGGCCGCAGGGCCGACCATAGCTGCCGGCAGGCCAAGCAGGCCCAGCCCCTGGCGAACGGAGTTGCTTGCTGGTGGAGCGAAGCGAAGCTGGCAATTCCGTAAGGGCGGAAGGGTGGGCCTGCTTGTTAAGTGAGTTACACTGTAAAAAATATTCTGAAATTTAAGACCAAAATGTATCTTAAATTTAATAACATTTTCAGTTGTTCTTAAACGTAAGAACAGATTATGATATTTAAGAAGTTTTCTTAATTTTGCAAACCAGGTTATGAAAATTCTGATAAGGGTAATTAAATTTTATAACAAGTTTATTAAATTTAAAAGATTTTCTTAGTTTTAAGAAGTGTTCTGAATGCTAGTATTAAAAGTAAGAATAAGTGTGACTTTTCAAAACAATTTTGTTAAAAGTCATGCAGCTTTTGACCACTGGACATAGAATTTTGGTGTTCAGTATTGAATTGGATGAACATCATCAAATTAGATAAGCGAAATGTAGCTATGCCAGAGCGAAATGTCAAAAAAAAACGAGTTAACAAACATACGCCGTCCGACCAAGCACATAGTACTCTGGGAATGCCCCTGGACGGAGCGCCGCATAAGGTCGGGTGCGAGCGTTCCCTTCACAGGTATGTCCCGACAGCCGCGCGGTCTAAGGCGTCAGGATCCGAACCCAAAGGTCCGAGGTTCGAATCCACCCAGGTAAGTTAAGGTAAATAACTTTAATGTGTACAAAGTCGGGTTTGAACATCTGTCCGTAAGAACAAGAACTAAATATTTTCCAGTTTTGCGTTAGGCTGGAACAGTAAAGCATTTTTGTCGTTTCATAACACGTTTTTAAATTTCAAAACATGTTCTTAATTTTCATAAAACATTTGTTCTTAAATTTAAGAGCAAATTTGTTTTGTAAATTGCTTCCAAACACGTGTTCTTAAAATTAAGATGGATTTTTTTTACAGTGTACTACCTAGAAAGCCATGTCAAAGAGTTAAAATAACAATCGTTTTGTTTTGTGGCCGTATTAAAGAGACTCCGTTACGTGCCTAAACAGTGACAGAGCCGAACGGACGAAATCTTACCCCAATGGCCTCTACTTTAGCGAGTTACCCCTTCAAAAACCATACAAAAATATTTTTTTCCCTCTTCTTGGACCAACTCCTCTTTTTTTTATTACTCCCACTCTGGGGTTGTTGCCAGGATGTGTACCAACCGTTCCGGTGTCCAGAAGTGAACACAATAATACCCTGAAAATTTCAGACTTCTAGCTCACGTCCTTCATGGGAAAAGGACAGACAGACAGACAGACAGACAGACACAGGGGCGATGGCATAAGCCCGCTTCTATAGCTTTTAAGCAAAAGAGCGGGCTGAAAATAGTTGGCTATGCCACCTAAGGGTAAGGCTGACATTAGTGTGGTGATGCTTGAGCGGGCAAAATTCGTTTAGAAAACTGTGAAAGAAAATAACAGCCATGATTCTAAACTGTGACGTCGTTCTTTGTAACTCACATACGTAGCAATTTACGGTGAAAAGTTAACAGTTTTGACTTTTGCTGGAAATTAACAGTTTAAACCTGTTGTTAGTACCCCAGAAAATGAGACGGGTGCATCATGAATGTCGACTGCAAAAGAAGTCCAGAACAAGTGTTACTGCAGAGCGAACTGTGCGCTACGAGTTCAGAAAATCGTTGTTCGGTGTGGCCTAGATTTCACACAGCGTCATTGCTATTGCTAGGTATAAATTTTTATGTAGCCACCTCGATGACTTTTTAAAAAGTGATACAGGCACACCTTTTCTTCACGCTTTGCACTTAACACCCACTCACCATAATGCTCTCGTTTCTTTAATAAATTTTGGGAAGTGTGCGTTTTTTTTAGTTTAGTTTTAAGTTTGTGTAGACCTCATATGGATGCTTTGTCTCAATAAACAAGACAATCAATTATTCTGCGGGCAAAATTGGATGGCTTCCATGACTGCCGCGCACCCCTGGAAGATAAATGGTTTTCGTCACGATTGTGGTGAACTGGTACAACTCGTGTGCATAAACACCATCGTGTGCAATTTTTGATGTTTCGCATAACATGGTGTTTAGCTCAAGTTGCGCACTAGCCTGGTGTGCACATTCTAGACGTTCGCTAAACGTTTACATTCTGCACACTTGGACTCACACAGTTCTACACTAACAATAGGAACCAAATGGTGTGCAGCTGCTATACTTTTCGGAAGTGTCGAAAGTGTAAACGCCAATTGACGTATAACCGAGGGGTGGATAACTGCCCTGTCCAATGTACACGTACACCCCTAATTCTTCCCTGCCCAATTTAAACTAATTCAGACTAATTCTAACTAATTCAAAAATAATTTAACTAGTTCAGTCAATTGAAGGCAATTTGCATTCAATTCAAGCCGATTGAAGCCAATTCAAGTCAATTCAAGCCGATTGAAGCCAATTCAAGTCAATTCAAGCCGATTGAAGCCAATTCAAGTCAATTCACTCTGATTCAGTAAAACAAAATCGCAACAATTCAAATACAACTCAACTAATACAGTCCAGTTGAAATTCAATTCAAGCCAATTCAAGTTAATTTACATTCAAATCTTGAAATTTGTACACCCAATTATTCGGGATTTATCCACCCTTCGCGTTAATTCTAGTTTGACACCACAACGTGTCGACAAAAAGCATACTTCACTCTCAGCCAATTACCGGCATTCTGAAAATATACCATAAACTCGTTTATACAGCAAAATACTCACAAAATTGCAACTTAAACTAAAAACTTTTGTAAGTAGTACTGATGATTTCGCTAGAAAGTACTTAGGATGCTGTTTTCAAGTAGTTAGTAACAAAAAAATTAGTATTACTCACAAAATTTGTGTATTACTGCTGTTTTAACGAGTTCATTATCTATTTGTAAAATGTCAGTTACGGGCTGAGAGTGTTGAACTTAAACATCAATTGACGTGCAACATTAAACATTTTAACAGTGGGCGAAGGAAACACATCCTGCTTTATAATGCTCTGTAAATACTGCGCTTACTGATCGGGCTGACTGTACCCCAGGTACACGACGTTAGTGCCGTTGACGGGACACTCGCCGCGACGGAAGGCATTCCACGACGCGCACCGCACGGCCGGGAACGCGTCCGGGTGCTCCACCGCCTCCGCGAGGTAGATGAAGGCCCGGGCGTGGCTGCAGAACGTATCCTCGTCCACGGAAAAGAGGCAGCCTGGCTGGACAGCCTTGCCTTTGTTCGGCCAGATGTCGATGTGGCCACTGGCGTCCTCGGTGCCCAAGCTCCCCGCGTCGGTGTGCACGACCTCGACCAGCGCAGCCGCGTCCCTCGTCAGGCTGGCGACGCCGGCGATGCCGAAGCCGGGCCCAGCGGGGTCCAGGCCTGCACGTGCGTATCAAAAGCGGATCAGTTGACTGTCTTATTCCAACTTAGTGCTGCCATCAAGTTTCCATATGTTTGAGGAGAGTCAGAAATAACGTTAACAATTCTTGTTAACTGTGAAATGAACCCATGGTTAGGGAAATTTAGTCGCTTTAGGTGTTATAGGAACTTTAAATAAAGGCACGCAAAACATTGTTTAAATTGTTGATGTGCCTTTGTGCACAATGGATTCCTTATTTTATAAATGCACCCAACTTTTCGCGTGGACGGCGCATAGTGTGGTCATAGACTCCTACTTTTAAATTTTACACTATTTTCCACGAGGGCGGCACGCGCGCGGAGCAGACTACTCGGATCAATGTGTTCGTTGTTGGGCTGTTACCCAGACGCGGCTCAAAATGCAACAGGTGGTGCTGAACGATCACGGGATGCTGGTGCTCTGGTTCAGAATTTATCGCGTTTGGTCTCGCTTCTATCGGTTTCATATAGCGGTGCGTTCTTAACACGTTGAGGCCCAAGGGTATTCGGCTACAACACAAACGGGACCTAAAGAAAGAAAAGCATGACTGCCCGAACTGTTTCCTCCTGAACGCTGATTGGTCAACGATGACGTCGGTGTGGCGGTAAGCCAATCACTGAAAATCCTAGAGCGAGGTTTGTTACTTAAAAGAAGCGAGACAATCTTTCATTGCCTGTTTTGAGCGATAAGTCTTAAACCTCGCTCTAAGTTGGTAATAATTTTAGGATATCGCTCCAATCTGGAATTGATAACTTAACAGCGCTCAATTGAAGTATGAAATTTAAAACCTCGCTTAGTTTAAGTATTAAGAATAAAACCTCGTTGCCTATTAGTATTAAATTTGAAAACCCCGTAAATTCACTGTTAATGAGTGATTTTAGCGGTTCGAAGAACAACAAGCTGGGCCCGCTCTTCCGCCAAACCAAGTTGCCAGCTCCGCTTCGCTCCACCGGCAACTCGGTTCGGCAGGGAGCGGGCCCAGCGGACGGGCCTTCAGCCCGTCCCTTCTGAATTTTCATGGTGTAATACATCTTCTATCCGAAAAAAGGCAGCTCGCTTTGGACCATCTTTTTTCCAGGTACCTATTCTGTCTACTTCGTAATCAAAACTCAACAAACGAAGTAGTCTTTTCATACGCTGAACATCTTTGGCTGTGTGTGCCGCAGTTTGTAGAATACATGCAAGTTATGCCAAATCCCTTCTGAGTTATTGATGTTAGCTTATGAATCAAATAACACACCTATGAAAAGATACATCAGACTAGCCCTAGAAGAAGTTAAATATACTTCCAGGCATAATCTGAACGACTCCGAACGTGTTCGAACAACAAATAAATGTTGTTTTTTTTTTGTTTGTTTTTTTGCTTTTTTGCATAAAAGTGTACACATTTTATTAATGATGTCCCACCATAAAATAAGCCCACTCTTCTGCTTAAAAGAAAATTTTGAACCGACGGCATACTCCTCAGACAGAAGTGTTCTTCTGAAAAAGTAAAAATATTTGTTTTGGCCAGTTTGGTAAGAAAAACTCCCTTTTGTTAGTAAACAGGACAAAACCTTAGCCCAAGA